CGCTCCTTCCGTCCCGGGCGCCGGGAGTGGCGGCAGAGGGCGCCCTCGGAGTGGGGAGCCACCTGGCGAGCACCTTACGGGGCGGCGGGAGGGCTCCGCGGGCGGCGTCCTGGAACCTCGGCGGCGGCTCCAGCCCACACAGAGGTTCCGCCTCCCGCTTCGGCGGCGGCTCCCCGTTCCTCGGCTCTGGTTCCTCCGCCACCCCCGCCTGGCCTGGCTTCCCTTCCGATCACGGTGGCCGCTTAGGCTGCACGCTCGTAGCAGCCGATCGTCCTCTCTGCCGCCCGCCCCTGGCCGCCCACTCGTGGCGGCACGGAGAGCCAGGGCCCGCCCCCGGGGAGGGCGCTGCTGGGAAGCCCAAGCCCAGACGGAACCCACCACGCTGGGATCCTGGACCTCAGATCCCCCCACCCACCGCCCCCAGGGCGCCGCGCCCAGAGCCAAGCGCCCCACCTAGGGACACCCGGAGTCCCCAAGAAGCCTCGCGTGTGCGTGCGACTGCAAGACAGTGCAAAAAGTCTCTGGAGCCAAGACTCGAACGTGGCCTCGACTCAGCCCCCGAGACTTGTGAAGAGCTCCCCGTGATCACGGCGCCCCCAACCGGACCCTCCCGGCCCGGGATCGCCCCGCTGACACCTCCTGCGAGACTGGAAGCGCCAGGGTGGCCCACGTGGAACGAGGCTGGAGTAACAACAGGCCTAACCTGGAGGGTGGCTTATAAGTAACAGTGACGCTAAATTTAGAACTAGCAAGCTAAATTTATCAGGACAGATGATGGTGCTTTTCATTTTAAAATTTCCAATAGCTGGCACTGTTATCACGAAGAAGTAATTGATTAACTCCAACTACCGTGTTTCTCATTGTTGATCTTACAATCCTACACACACACACACACACACACACACACACACACACACCAGTATCATAAGCCAAAGACAGAAGATGAGTGGAAAATTATTGTCCACAGATGAAAAAGGTTAATTAAGTGACATTCTGTTCTTTTAAAGGGAGCCACAGAGAGAGAGAATAAGAGACAGAGAGGTGTGCCTGGATTGTTGAACAACAATAAAAAAAAAAAGTACCCACTTTAGAATGAGAGCGGATGTATACATTTCCAGAGACCTCTGGAATGCTATATACATCAATGTGAGGAAGGCCAGTTCACACTGTAAAGTAAATAACAGTAATAGGATTTGGATTTTCCAGATAATGATTAATGAGGCCTGTGGAAAAGGCCAAAGAAACATGCAGATTACATTTCAAGATGTTGTACCAGGTAGTAAGAATAGTTTCCTTTTTGTGACTTTATTGTACTTTCCAAACAGGTAACGCCTGAAAGATTAATCTGCCTCTCAAGCTGCTTACTAAGACTGTCACTAATGCTAAGTTCAGTTCCTAGTAAATGTCATGGGCAAGTGTGTCTTAGGGGCATTACCAACTGAGAAATAGTAACCGGAGTGCCCATTGGTATACTGGTTCACTGGGTATCTCAAGTCTGCCATCTTTACAGATGAGTTCAGAGGAAAGGGGCAACTCAAAGTCAACACAGGGGATAAAACTGGATCCATTCCCCACACCACGTACCAGGAAAAATTCCAAATGGTTAAGAGGCTTAACTGTAAAAAATGAGAGTATTGTGTACTTAATAAATATACAGGCATATTTTTCAACCTTGGAATGAAAATAATTTTCAGAACTAGGAATGAATTTTTTTAAAGATAAACTTTTTTAACCTTTTTTTTAGTACTAGAGTTTGAACTCAAGGACTTTCATTTGATAGGAACATGCTTTCCACTTGAACCAATTCTTTAAACTTGATAATATAAAAAAAAAAGTATTTCCGTGGCAAATGCACCACAAGGAAACTAGACCGAAAACATAAGATGTCATCTTAGGCAATTCATAAATATGGTAATTCAGGGAGCTCTTTCCTGTATGAAGAGAAACTCAACCCTATTCATAGTAAGTGCAAATTAAAATTATACTAGTATGACACTTTTTTCTTTACATGTTGACAAATATCTTGATGTTTGAGAACATTTTATTTGTGAGATTGGGGCTAAATAAAATAAACACTTTCATTTCTTGCAGAATAAATGTGATTAAAAAAAAAAAAAAACACTTGTAGCTCGGGCACTGGTGGCTCACACCTGTAGTCCCAGATACTTAGAAGGCTGAGATCTCCTCAGATCTCAAAGTGGTTCAAAGCCAGCCTGGGCAGAAAAAGTCAATGAGACCCTTATTCCAATAAATTACTCAGAAAAGGCCAGAAGTGGTACTGTGGCTAAAGTGGTAGAGCACTAGTTTTGAGCACAAAGAGGCCTAGAAGAGCACTTAAGCACTGAGTTCAAGCCCTAGGACTGTCAAAACAACAACAATAACTTGTAGAGGGAACTATGTTAGTATCTACCAAAATTTTATCTACTTGAAAATTTTTATCTTATATATACTGGTAAACCTATAAATGCATTTTTCTCAAGTTATTAATTTCAGTGCTAGTTACAGTAGCAAAAAATTTAAAAATCACTCAAGTGTTCAATCAGGGACTAGTTTAATAAAGAGTAATGTACCCAGTAAATGGAATATTACCTGGCTATAAGGAATGGTGTTAATTACTTATGAATTATCCCCTCCACCCAATTTTCTAGTTGTTTACACTGGGACAAGAATTCCAGATTCCATATCTCTTTCATGACTCGAATCAGAAATCCAAGTAATTATTTTTTAAAGTAATACATTATACTTTCACTGCATTTCATAATATAAACATATATATTTTTCATAAGAAAATGGCAGTATATTACATATACTTTTTTTGGTCTTTAAGATAGGAATTCTCTATGTGGTGAATCAAGCTGCCTGCCTCAGCCTACCAAATTGCCTGAATTACAGGCATGTGCCACTACTCCTGACTTTTCTATTCCTTGTATTTTCAAATACCTAGCAGCAGTCAGTGCAGGACAGACTCTATCAAGGGGGAAAAGGAATGATATGATTCTTTTGTTGGGAAGCAATTTCTGGATAATGATTTGGAGAATGAAAACCCAAACAGAGAGCAGCAATCTTTGGGTGAGGATAAAATGCCTGGAATTTGTGAAGGCTGAGGCAGTCTGAATAAGAAAGACAGAAGGACAGGTAGAAGGAGAAGCAGAATAATTCCAAAATACTGCATAGGAGACCCTTTGAATCTTCAGCTGAATATTGCTCTCTTCACATGTGTAGGAGAAAACCTCCAAAGTTCAGATCAGAACAACTTCTAGGCACAGAATAAGCTCAGGGAATTATCAAATGAGCAATTCCTGGGGTTAAGAGAGCTACCAGCCCCTCCATCCATTTCCCGTAGACTCAGTAGCGATCGCGTTGACCACACAGAGCATTTGAAAGATACCCAGAAAAACCATGTTTCAAAGCCAAGCTAGATAAATTCTTCCTAAAGATGCAGCAGCCTAGATGAACCTAAAAACAAAGTTCACCTATATTAGCTGCTTGCTAGAAAAGTCAAATTCCTTTAAGGAATGGAACAAAATAGAGTAAAGGAAAATACATGTCCAGCATCCTATCAAAAGCATGACAAATAATTTTTTTTATTTTATTTGTGAAGATACTGTACAGAGGGGTTACAATTACATGGGCAGGATAATGCGTACATTTCTTACCAAGCATTGCAGCCTCCTCCTTTTGTTTACCCTTCACATCCCTTCCCAGCCTCCCCCCTCCCAATCCCAATCTTTCTCCTTCCCCCCCCCCCACCAACGTTGTAAAGCTCGTTTTGGACATGACAACTTGTACTTCTCATTGTTGCAACAGGTCCACCTGTATCTTTAAACAACTGGTTTTTCCTCATCTCCTCCTCAAGTTATACTGACATCGAATATAGTGAAAGCAGGGGTTATACTGTGGGGGAGGGACATACAAAGCAACAAAGAGATAATCTTATAAGTGCATAAAAAAAAAAGCAAGAAAAAAAAAAACATTAAGATACATATCTAAGGGTTCAATTTCCTGACATCACATTATCTGACCTTTTCTGCTTGACTCATAGATATACTAGATATTGCAAATAAGGGAAACCATGGGACCTATGTTTCTTTGGGCCTGGCTTACTTCACTTAATATAATTTTTTCCAAGTTTTTCCATTTCCTAACAAATGGGGCAATGTCATTCTTTCTGATGGAGGCATAGAATTCCATTGTGTATATATACCACAACAAATAATTTTTTAAATGACACTTAACAAGGAGAAAAAATAGCCAAAGATATATCCTCAGAAGTGACGGAGGGGCTGGGAAGGTGCTCAGTGGTAGAGTGCTTGCCTTGCATGCCTGAGGTCCTGGGTTTGATTCCTCAGCACCACATAAGCAAAAAGAAAAAAGCCAGAAGTAGCTCTGTGGCTCAAGTGGTAGAGCTCTAGCCTTGAGCTGAAGAGCTGACCTTTCTAAGCATAGCAGTTTCAGGCCTGCTATTTAACTCTTCCTTCAGTATTACCACATCACACATTGTAAATGCATGCAGTTTATTACATGTCATTTTTGACCTTACAAAAGTCATTTTAATTTAAAAATGGAATGAATCAATAATAAATGTAACAATGTGGATAATTAAAGTTATATTGTACAAAATAAGCCAGAAACAGAGTGTACATATAAATGACTCCAAGAGTATGAAATGTAGGAAAGACAAATTCAATC